ATTAAGTTCCCAGGTGTCATTCTCTTTTGTATGAATTTCTTCCTCCATTACTTTTACTCAATGATCATCATTGGCGGCTTCTTCATACATAACCGGGTCACAATCTGCAAACAAAGCAAAATTAACAATATCTTCGTTAGAAGAAATATCATCTGGTGTAATAACATAATCCTACAGACGTGCTGGCATCTGTCGCTGACGTTGGGGATGTCCAGTTATTTCAATTTGTGGACCCTGAGGAACTAATGATGATTGAATATCATAATTATCCTCCTCTTGCTGATAATTTAGAGTCACCTCTACTGTCTCAAGATCTCCAGTAGACCAATTCCCAATGCCTCTTTCGTCAAAAGTCACATCTCTACTCACTATCACATTTTTTGTCACAGTACCCGAGAGATTTCACTATAACCAATAAATACATACTTCTTCCCCTTATCATCAAGTTGTTTTCTTAAATGATCAAGAATGTAAGAATAGGCAATACATCCAAAAACTCTGAGATAGCCAACAAATGGTCTTCTACCACTTCAAAATTCTTCAGGAGTTTTTTTAGAAATACTTTTGGTAGGACACATATTTAACAGATAAATTGCACAAGAAACCATCTCTGCCTAAAAAGATTTTGACATATTTTCACTTTCAGTATATACCTCACCATATTCATAAGTGTCCTATTTTTCCTCTCTGTCACTCCATTTTGTTTGGGAGTGTACCTGGTATTCAACTGATACTGTATCCCATTTTTCTCAAGAAAATCATTACACACCAAATATTTTTAACCCCTATCTGTTCTCAAAATTTTAATCTGACGCTCACTTTGCCACTCAACAAAAGTTTTAAAAATTTTAAAAATTTCACAGGCATCAGATTTTTGTTCCAAAAAATACACCCAGACTTTTATACTAAAATCATCAATAAAAATAATAAAATACCTGCAACCACTATTAGAACGAACCTCCACAGTGTATAAATCTGAATGAATAACTTTTAATGGTCTTCTGACCCTCCATGATTTGCCAGTTTGAAAAGTATCCCTATGTTATTTTTTCAAAACGCACATATCACGGACTCTACTGGGATTTCTATTATTAGACAATCCACCGAACATTCTTTTATTGGTCAAAAATTTCAAACTGTCAAAATTCAAATGATCAAATCGCATATGCCACAACCAATTACTGTCATCTATCACTATATTCAAATAGAAAAAATTGGCACTACTCAAATTCGGTGAAAATAAGCGATTTGAAGTCATTGATACACTGGCAATCATTCCAATATTTTTATCAAAAATAGTGCAAATACTATTCTTGATACGAATAGGAATTTTTTCATTAGACTAACAGGAATTTTTTTCTTACCAATCACTGGTAAGACAGTGTTATTCCCAAATTTAATTTCACCACGAATAGATTCATCAAACTCAACAAATAATTCTTTCTTGCCAGACATATGGTTGCTACAACCCGTATCCAAGTACCATTTATTTTTATCAACCATATCAATAGTATTATAGGCTAATAATAAAGTTTCAGATTTTTTATTATCATCCTGCACCCGATTGTCAACAACATTAGCCTGAAAATTTTTGTCTACATTTTCTCTAAATCTGCATTCAAATTGTCTATGACCCAAATTTTTACAATTATAACATTGAACTCTCTATCCAAAATTATTCTGAAAATTATTGTGATTAAAATTATTCTCTCGGCCAAAATTACCACATCTGCCTTGATCAGGACCACCTCTAAAATTGAAATTATTATCTCTACCACATCCAGGATTTGGTGTACTTCCTCGACCTCTATTATTGTTGCCACAATCACTTCTGTTATTGTAACCACCTCTGTTCCTCTGACTAGATTCGCCTTACTCCCTGACATTATTATTGCCTCTCAAATTCAACTGCACCTGCAATGCCTTCTCTACTATATCTTTCTCCGGGGTATCCTCTAATTTTTCATTAATTCTTTGTTCATACAAAATTAATGACCCATGCAAATCTTCAATACGCAAATCCTCCAAAACTTTCGTTTCCTCGATTACAGCTACCACATGATCAAATTTCATGGGTGGGGTATTGAGAATTTTTTCAATAAATGTTCTGTCAGGAAGGTCATACTGATTGAGTTTCATTTCATTTTTAATATCTGACAAATGAGAAAAATCTGATTCAATAGATTCCGACTTCTCCATAGTCACAAGTTCAAATTTCTTCTTCAAAATCATCAAATTATTTTGCTACACTCTGTCAATCCCTTTGTATGTTTTCTCCAATATATTTCAAGTCTCCTTTGCCGTATCAGCAGTAGCAATTTTTTCAAAAACTAACATGTCAATTACCTAATGAATTTGTGACAAAACCAAATTATCTTTCGCCTTATCATCCTCACTAGCATCCTAGGCAAGTGCAGATTCAATATATCGATGTAATTTACATGTCTTGAGATGGGTTATCATTTGTTTCTGCCAAAAATTGAACTTTGCCTTTGTTTTGAATTTTTTGACAGAACAAATAATATTGAGGCTAGGATTTACCATACTTCAATCTACTGTAACTCTGGTACCACTTTGTAGGACCCAAACAAATAAACACACATAAATCCACAGGAACAATATCAAGAATTTGACATATGAGACAAAGGGAAAGAAATTCTCTTCTATTACTCAAAAGGAGGTTGTGGCTACAAAAGTACAAAACCAAAAAGTAGAGTCTTTTTATAACCTATGTACCCTCGGACTCGCCCAACTTATTAGTACTACCAATATGGGATTTTATCCCATGTGACCAACTTTAGACTTGCCAACAAAACTAACCAATAAAGAAATGACATGTGGCCAGTAAGATAAAACTAACCAATCAACACTAACTTGGTTTATATTTCTACACGAAAGAATGATGACAGGTCAATCTTTCGAGTGCCCTTGAAAACCATAAATAGATAACATGCTCCTTGTAAGATTATAAATCAGCAATACCTGTTCCTTTTCTTTTAGTATCATCCCTTTCTTAGAGGTCCTAGATTTGATTTTTGAGCATCATTGCTTATAGGATAAAATGTGAAACTGGAAGTGAGAAGCAGAGTTAGTGTTAGAAAGGCTATTTTCATCTAGGCATTCTAGCTGTAGAAATGGCAAGCAATGCAAATAACTTTATTACCTAATGAATCTCAAAGGATGTGAAAAAAAAAAAGAATCTCAAAGGATGTGTAGCAGGTGATTATGAATATTTTCTGAGAGAAGACACTGATCTCTTTTGACCTTGTGAGTGTTACTCCCATCCCTCCCCGTATTATTAAGCTTGAAAACTGTATTTTTTAGTTCTCTTCGTAAGACTTGCCTCCTTTGAGGCAAATTATGACCCACATGATTGATTTTGAAGTAATTGATATTCTAATTAATTGAATGACATTTTATTAATAATTACTTAGTATCTCCCAGTAGATAATGATTGGTGATTGATATTCTGATTAATTGATTGATATTTTGTTAATAATTAATTAGTATCTTCCATTTGTTAATGATTGATATATACTATTAATTGATGTCTGATTCAATCAGTTAATCAATCAAATCAATCAATTAGTTAGAAAATATTATTTTAGTTACGAATTTTGGAAAGATTTTCTTGATGAAAGTAAACTCTAGGAATTTTTGTATTTGCCGGTAATGGTCCCTAGCCTAGCCTATAAATAGCCTGTGGTATTCCATCAATTGTACACTTTTTGGTTAGGTATAGACTAGAAGATCGTTACTCTAAATTCTCCTTCTACTTTTCTCTTCTTCTACACATTTACACAGTTTCTTTGTCTACATAGACAAGAACAAGGCAAGAAGACAAGGAGTTGAAAGTATTAATTTTTGTTCAACAACAATAGCTGGAGATAAATCATTTAAATTTCCATTGCTTAGTATAAATTATTTGTGTTTATTTGTTTACATGTGGTACTAGAGCCACCCTCTAACCATCTTGTTTAACATATAACTCCTTGGTTTGTTGGCAATTTAAGAAAAGCTACATAGATTCATTTAATATTCAATGAATGAAATTCAATTTGTCATAGGATCTATATATTCAGTATCTCAATGATTGAGAAATAATGGCTAATCCCATGTACATGTATCATCTTTGTGATGATTTATTTGTCATGCAAGTATGTGTCATACATATATCATTAGTATGATATTTAATCTTCATTTGGTTATGCTTGTATATGACAACATAACAAATTATATCTTGCATGAATTATGGTTAGTATACTTATGCCTTTTGACTTTGCATCATGTATGCTAAATAAAGGTTGAGCTTTGCTTTTGGGGCACTTTATGAGTTCTATATAAATAACTCCATGTCTCTTGAAATTGTGATTAATAATTGGCATCGGCATTTTGCTTGTTTGCTGCACTTTCGCCTAATTATTTAAAATATAATTTGTGACATTTATCGACCTTTCATTTTTGTCACCTATTTAGATGTTATCATAAAAATTTTGCATCTTGTATTTAAGAGTGGCCATAGCATCTTATATGTTTGATACTTAGAATTTTAATCACATAAATGTCTAGTGATTAAATGAATAACATCTAATTAAGTAAGCAATTAATTTATTAAAATTATCACTTGACCCACAGGAAAGTGATAGTTTTAATAGGATTAGTTGAAATAAGATGGTAAATTTAACATTGTGCTAAGAGATTTTCCTAGGCCCACAGGTATGAAAAATTTCTATTTTTAATTTACCAGTCTTATTATAAAGAAAGTAATTCAATGCATGTTTGGCAACCTCTACCCACAGGAAAGTTTGAATTTATTATTTGAATTAACATTAGTTAATTCAATCCTTATGTCTTAAATTTCATAGCAATAATGTATGTTTATTCTTGGATATTGCAGTTTTTTCTACCACTACTCTTTTTAATGATTCATCTCATATTCCAATGCTATCCGGTGAAACTACACAGAATGGAAGGACAAGATTCTTCTAACTTTAGGGTGCATGGATCTTGATTTGGCGCTTCGTGAGAATGAACCACCCATTTCCATGGATTCTAGTTTGTCAAATAAAAAGGCTGCTTATGAGCAGTGGGAGCAATCTAATCGCTTAAGTTTGACGCTCATTAAGTCACATATCAATCAAAGCATTAGGGGTTCAATCCCTGATTGTGACAGAGTCAAAGCTTACGCGAAAGCAATTGATGAACAATTTGTAAGTTCTGACAAGGCTTTGGCTAGCATCCTTATGAAGAAATTTGCAAGCATGACACTTGACAAAAGTAGGAGTGTGCACAAGCAAATTATAGAAATAAGGGATATTGTAGCTAAACTAAAGTCCCTTAAAGTTGAGATTTCTGAATCATTTCTTGTGCATTTCATTCTCAACTCTTTTCTATCGGAATATACTCCATTGAAGATCTCTTATAACACACATAAAGACAAATGGTCAATTAATGAACTCTTGACCATGTGTGTTCAAGAGGAGAAGAGATTGAAACATGAGACACTAGAAAGTGTTCATCTTATGACTCATGGTAAAGGAAATACAAAGAAAGGAAAAGGCAAGAATGTTCTTATGAGAAAAAGATGGCAATAAAGACAAATGCCGCTTTTGCAAAAAGAAAGGGCACTGGAAGAAGACTGCCTCAAGTACAAGAAGTGGCTCGAAAAGAAAGGTAATCTCACATTTGTGTTATGAATCTAACTTTACTGAAGTTTCTAATAATGCTTGGTGGATTGATTGTGGTTCTACAATTCACATTTCCAAAATCATGCAGGGCTTTCTGAATCTAAGGAAGCCGTTGGAAAATGAACAAAGCATCTATTCTAGAAATCAGATGCGTTCATCTGTTGAAGGCGTGGGGACCTATAGACTCGTTTTAAAGACTGATTTTCAATTAGATCTTGAAAATACCTTTTATGTTTCATCTTTTTCTAGAAATTTAATTTCTCATTCTAGACTATCTATTATTGGATATGATTCCAATTCTCATCTTTCAACTATGAATCTTTTGAAAAATAATAAAATTATTGGTTCTGCTAATTTGGATGGAATGTTATTTAAACTTGAGTTCGACCCCACATACGAATATAGCCTTTTAACTATGCATGGTACTGGTACTAAACGCAGTATTATCAATGAGAACTCTCTGAAACTTTGGCATAGGAGATTGGGACATATCTCCATTGATAGAATCAAAAGATTGGTGAATGGTGGAGTTCTAGAGACTTTAGATTTCACTAATTTTGGTACTTGTGTAGGCTGCATAAAGGTTAAGCAGACTAACAAGACCTCAAAAGGTGCCAAAAGAAGTTCTCAATTACTTGAGATTATACACACAGATATCTATGGACCTTTTCCTACATCTTGCTTCAATGGTCAGAGATATTTTATCTCATTTATAGATGATTATTCAAGATTTATGTATCTTTATCTCTTGTTTGATAAATCAGAAGCACTTGATGCTTTTAAAATTTTCAAACTAGAGGTAGAGAAACAGAAGGAAAAGAAAATCAAAATTGTGAGATCAAATAGAGGTGGTGAATATTATGGACGGCACACAGATAAAGGACAAGCATATGGTCCATTTACTAAGTTTCTCCAAGAAGAAGGTATTGTTGCTTAATATACAATGTCTGGCACACCACAACAAAATGGTGTAGCCGAAAGGAGAAATCAAACTCTCATGGACATGGTTAGAAGCATGATTAGCAGCACTAGTTTATCTTTATCCTTATGGAGTGAAGCTTTTAAAAATAACTGTGTATATTTTGAATAGGGTACCATCCAAGATTGTCCCTAAAACGCCTTTTGAAATTTGGAATGGATGGAAACCTAATTTAAAACATTTACATGTATAGGGTTGTCCAGTTGAAATGAGGGTATATAACCACACATTAAGAAATTGGATGAACCGTAAGTTAGTGATTTCTTCATAGGCTATGCTGTTAACTCTAAAGAGTTTAGATTTTACTGTCCTTCACACACTCCAAATATTATTAAAGCTAGAAATGCTAAGTTTCTTGAGGAGTACGAAATCAGTGGGAGTGGTTCTCAAAAAGTGAAATTTGAAGAAGTAAAGGATACATCTGTGCCACATTTATATGATCTAGTTGTTATTCAAAATATTGAAGAGCAACCGGTTGAGCAACCTCCACTTGAGCAGCCACAACAAGAACAATCAACAATAATTGATACCACTAACCAAACTTCTCATGAAATAGTGGGAGTTAGAAGATCCACAAGAATCAGAAGGCCAGCAATTTCTAGTGATTATGAAGTATATCTCCAAGAGTCTGACTATGATGTTGGACTTAAGAATGACCCTAGTTCATTTTCACAAGCCATGAATGGAGAAAACTCCATATCTTGGTATAATGCCATGAAAGAAGAAATGAAATCAATGGCTAAAAATAAAGTCTAGGATCTCATCAATGGCCAAAGATTTTATTCAAAATGAAGGTATTGACTACCATGAAACCTTTTCTCCTGTTTCAAAGAAGGATTCATTACATGTTATCATGACAATAGTAGCCCACTTTGGTTTGGAGCTATATCAAATGGATGTGAAAACGGCATTCCTTAATGGGGATCTTGAAGAAGAGGTATACATATGTCAACCTGAGGGTTTTGTCAATAATGACAACAACCAACTTTTTTGCAAGTTAAAAAAATCTATATATGGACTAAAACAGGCTTCCCGTCAATGGTATATTATCACAACGTTGTCTCTTCATTTGGTTTTGTTGAGAATATCGTTGACGAGTGCATATATCTTAAGACAAATGAGAGCAAATATATCTTTTTAGTCTTATATGTAGATGATATTCTTCTTGCGAGTAATGATATAGGTTTGCTGTATGAAACTAAAAGGTTTCTTGCACAAAACTTTGAAATGAAGGATATGGGCGAAGCATCTTATTTCATTGGCATAGAGATTCATAGAGATAGAACAAGAAAATTCTCGATTTGTCTCAAAAGACCTACATTGAAAGGTTTTGAAAAGATTTGGAATGAAGCACTACTCTTCCATTGCAACTCCTGTTGTCAAAGGAGAAAAATTCAGTTTGATCAATGTCCTAAAAATGAGTTGGAACAAAAAGAGATGGATAGCATTCAGTATGCTTCGCTTGTTGGAAGCCTTATGTATGCTCAGGTCTGCACCAGACCTGATATTGCTTTCATAGTTGGAATGCTAGATAGGTATCAAAGCAAAGCTGGAGAGGATCACTAGAAAGCTGCCAAAAGAGTTTTGAGATATCTGCAAGGGACCAAGGACTACAGACTTACATACAAACAGCTGACTATTTAGATATAGTTGGATATTCTGATTAGGATTTTACTAGATGTGTGGACTCAAGCAAATCTACTTCAGAATACATTTTCCTTCTTGCGGGAGGAGTAATATCTTAGAGAAGTATAAAACAAACAATTGTTGTGTCATCCACAATGGAAACAGAATTCATTTCACAGGCTTTATGGTTAAAGAACTTCACATCTGGCCTAAAAGTGGTAGATTCAATAAGTAGGCTACTGTAGATCTTTTGTGACAACTTTGCTGTTGTGTTCTTTGCTAAGAACAACAAGAGTGGAAGTCGAGGCAAGCATATCAACATCAAGTTTTTAATGGTCAGAAATCATGTTAAAAAGCAAGAAGTAATCATTGAGCACATTAATACTGAATTAATAATTGTTGATCCTATGACTAAAGAATTGTCGGCAAAAGTCTTTCAGGATCATGCAACTCATATGGGATTCAGTAGTTCATGCTAGATTATTTCTATTTTCTTGACCATTTGTGTCTGGACATTTGTTGTTAATGTTTGCGCACATTAAAATTGATACATGTATAAAGAAGTAATCTTTGATCCATAAAGTTGGACCCTGAGTAACTTATATGAAATTATTCATAAAATTCTTTTAAAGCACTTGATTAGAAAGCATAATATATTGTAATACATGGAAGGAAGTGTTCGCAATAAGAACATAACCGCCATGATTCAAGTATTATCATTTTCTAATTAAGCAACTGTTCATAACTGTCGAGTCTATTGAGTGATAATAAAGACTTATGGCCGCTTAAGTATCTAGTAACTCAAAAGTTATCGGACTATGGCATATGGGTCAAGTGGAAAAATGTAAGACTTGCCTCCTTTAGAGATAAATTATGACCCCCATGATTGATTCTGAAGTGATTGATATTCTAATTAATTGATTAACATTTTGTTAATAATTAATTAGTATCTCCCATCAAACAGTGATTGGTGATTGATATTCTGATTAATTAATTGATATTTTATCAATAATTAATTAGTATCTTCCATTTGTTAATGATTGATAGATATCTACTGTTAATTGATGTCTTATTCAATCAGTTAATCAATCAATTAATCAGAAAATATTATTTCGATTATGAATTTTGGCAAGATTTCCTTGATGGAAGGAAACCCTAGGAATTTTTTTTATTTGCCAGTAAGGGTCCCTAACCTAGCCTATAAATAGTCCGTGGTATTCCATTAATTATACACTTTTTGTTAGGTATAGATTAGAAGATCCTTACTCTAAATTCTCCTTCTACTTTTCTCTTCTTCTACACATGATAGTACCTTTGGAGCTAACTTTAAACCTCAAGAGATGAGCTCTAACGACTCATTTTTCATCTCTCTTGAGGAATGTATGGAGAGTATAGGTTTTAAAGGTATTATTCCCCAAGCAAACAATGCGGATGTTCCTTTGGTAAGTTCTCAAGTGGTGCATTTTCAAGGTAATATCTATGAAACACTTGAGATAGGTAAGCCACTTCCATCTCTCATATCATTTGATTATGTGGCTTTTGCTATCAAACCACCTTTTAATGATCTACCACGACCTAAATTGGTGGATTATTCATTGACAAAACCTCTATGAAAAATAAGGTAAAATAGTCGAGCCAACGACTATAAACAAAAGTGCTTGTTGGGAGACAACCCAATGTTTTTGTTATTGATGTAATTTTATGTGATTTTAGGTTTAAATCAAGTGTTTAAGTTGTTTTTTTATTTTTTTTATTTACAGGCTTGGAAAATACAAGTAAAGGTGACCATTTTAGGTGAAAAAGGCAAAGTTCGATCAAGGAATTTCACCCCTCGATTTGAGTAAAAGTTGTTTTCACTTTGTTAAAGAGGTTTAAAATGCATGTTTCGATTATTTTATATGTGTGTGCATTGAATATTTTGATACAAGAATGATCTAGGATGCATGTTGAGTAAGTGGGGTACCATGTCCAATTTTAGAAAGTCTACCATTTCTGCATATTTTGCAGAAAAAAACGTGAAACCCAGGTAAACGTGACTCTAAGTCATCGCGTATTCCATAAATCACGTTTTCTATTCTGCGAGATTAAAGTAGAAAACGCGACTTGAATATGCGACTTGAGATCACGTATTCACAGAGTCACATTTTGAATTTTGCAAGAACATAGAAGAATATGTGGGTATTAGAAATATGCGACCTTAAGTCGCGTATTCTATCCTCGTGTATTGTATTTTGTAGTGACCACACAGAAAATGCGACTGCCTTATTTTCTTTCATTCTTTTCTCCTCATCTCACATTTTCT